GTCTTTAAGTTAGTTACTCGCCTACAATTGTGCTATTTTGGAGACCTACGCTATTGAACGTCGAGGTCCAGTGGCGAGAGTCTTACTCGCGTGTCCACCTATAATTTACAATTTCATGAATGAAAAATCAATAGTGTGTGACATGCCGCATACCAAGATAGTCGCGTGTCGCCTCATAGAAACAGATCTTCAACACATCTCGACACTGTTGTGTAGTGGTAAATGTGTTGCTCTGGAGATAGAATGCTGTGTAACAAAGGTATATGTTATGTTACCATAGAAACAGACCTTCAAGACATCTCGACACTGCCGTGTAGTGGTAAATGTGTTGCTCTGGAGATGGTATGCTGTGTAACAAACGTATATGTTATGTTACCATAGAAACAAACTGGTAAGACACCTTGATACTCGTGTGCTAGGACACGTGTCTTCCCAAACACATTGTGTGACATACGTATACGTTGTCACCAACAAACATTTTGGTAAGACACATTGACCCTTGCGTACTGGGACACGTTTCACCCAATAAACCCCATTTAACATTTATATGATTTATATTACCCTAGAAACCTGTGTGTACAAATACAACAAAGTATATTGTCCTGAAGGTGTTATAGTTTATGTTACACCTGGTCTACAACGACCTAGATTAAGTTTGTAGCATCAATAGACGGGAAAAAACACACACAAACACAAGAAGACGTTTTCTCGCACTTTTTTTTCGAGTAGTCTGCACTAAGGTAAATACATCTGGACTTATGCAAAGTTAAATTATGTGTTGATATAAAGTTTTTTTTTAGCTGTGAACAACCGGTTTTGCTTGACTTTTTTTATTCTAAAAAATGGTTCATGCATTGTCCTAAATATTTGAAACGAAGATAAACAATAGTCATCTGGGTTCAATGCGCCGCTATAGTTTAATTGCAAAATGTCATTTTGTACACGGTAGACCCACTAACAAGTGTTTCTATGCAGTGTTTCTAGGAATTTTTGTCGCTATTCAACACTTCCTGATATGGATGCACAACCAATGAGTTGTCCATACAAGGACAGCACTCATGTGACATATTGTATTACGTATGCGAAACAAAGCAACGATCAATGATAAAGTTTATGGCCTCCATGTTTAATTTAGTGCTGGTACATTTTTACAGCGAGGTCAAGGTCACGTACAAGTGTATTGATATAACGATCCTAACTCACCAGATGGTGTAATTTACAATATTTAATATTGACGCACAGACACTTAGTTCGCCTGTAAAAAGCACATATCATCGTAAAGATGACTAATTTTTCTTCAAAAGGTGATATTTGATCTGTAACTTTACGAAAAGTACCCTGCCAATTTCGACCACACGACACGGAAAATATCTACATATCTTTTGTTCGGGATGAACTCGTCAACCAATACACCAAAACTTTCCCAATGAGCAGGGATCGTTCCGTTGTACCTGCGCTGAAAACTACCTATTTCCAAAACTTGAAAAAGACATTTTTGTTCACCACAAAGCAATATGAAATAAGGGCTATGATTGGGCCGAAAAATGGACAGATTTGTAAAAGTGCCAATCAGGTCCCTTGTTTCATTTTGGTTTCAGAAGGAAAACCAAAATTTACCAAATGACAGTGCAGGACTCATTTTATGTACAGTACATGCATTATGTGCCGGCAATCAAAACTCACGTGCCGAGAATCAAAACCATGATATGAAATAGCGAATTGTTCATATGTCGCTGATTAAAACTTACCAAAGGAAAATCGAAATGTGCGTGCATGTAATGCACAGTTCAGACATACACCAGGGCATCAGAGCCTACCAAACTCGCTATCAAATGAGTTATTGTTAAAATGTCATTTCTCGTGTATTCATTCCCCACATAGTATACCTTTTGTGCAACCTGCACTCAAATACGATGGCAACTACAAAAACCTATTGTGCAAAAGTCGATATTTTCTCAACTTAGGATAGAAAATAAAGCGATGGTGCTAAAACTGGTGTAGATATTACAACACCGTTAACAGCAACGCGTGGTACAATTTTTCACAGGACTGGTATCATTGTGTACAAAGGTCTCCAACACACATGTTTACCTTAGCAAGTGTCACTGTAATCAATGTCGTTCTGTATCATCTCCAACTTGTCGTCTCCCTTGACGACACCCTAGTTACAACACTAACCCGATAGTTGACACGGGATTATATACACAATGGTATCGATACTGCAGAATATTAAATTTTTTTAGTCATAAGAAAGATACGCTACGGGACTTTAATATAATGGTTTTCAAAAACGTGGCAAATTACCGGACGAAAGCCGATAAGTGTCAGTGATTGCATTAAAGACACAAGTAAATAACAAATCTCCATGTAAATATAGAATTAGATACAGAAGGGTCAAATCTGCATCACATAGCTGTTTCTTCGTCCATCTTGGACTCGACAGTGATGCGAAGGGCCTGAATTTTGAAACCTAGGAGGAGGCAGAAGGGAAACCAAAATTGACTGAAAGAAATGTCCAAACCAGATGGGCGTGGTGCACTGTATCCGCATATATATATATATATATTTTATAAATTTCTTGATTTTAAGATATCTGATCCTTTCAAAGAAATTCTTATACATGTGTGTGAATAAAAAACATAGCACGAATGTTACGGCAAACCTCGGGGATTAAAAATGTCCACCAGCAGTGTCTACCACCTGCAATCTCAATGACTGAACAGAAAAAAACGTCTTTCGATACAAATATAGAATTTGATACGGTAGGGACAAATAATTTATTTAAGTGCATCATACAGTTATTTCGTCCATTTAAAATGCTGAGGGCTTGTATTTTGTAACGAAGGAACCAATAAAAATGATCACGTGAAGTCGTAATGAAGTGCAAAAAGTTGCCATTTTGTAAATACTTCGTAAACACGTATGAATGTGAATATGTTCGATAACAAAAATATCAAAAACGCAAAACACACGTAATTTCAGGAAAAGGGTGTAATAGCGCGAACGCGAAGTTGTTATAACGCGCACGATATCGGAAACGAATTTTATATCACTTTCGTTTAGTTGTCATAATTGTCCAAGACGAGTTCCAATTTCCGGCCATTTCTGACGCCATCTTGGTTATTGATTCATGTTTTCGTTGTTACATAATTTCAAGTACGTGAGTCATTTCAAAACTGTCTTATAACTTTACTACAAATCATGCGCAATAATATGAAAGCAATACATCAACGCAAAATTCACGCAAAACCATGAAAGTAATCAATTACACCCATTGTGATGTTGATACATAACCCTGTGTCACTATGATGTTGATATATTTACATACCTCGCTATAACTATGATGTGTATATATTTACATGTATCGGTGTAACTATGATGTTGATATATTTACATACTGCGGTGTAACTATGATGTGTATATATTTACATACTCCGGTGTAACTATGATGTTGATATATTAACATATCCCGGTGTAACTATGATGTATAAATTTAGCATACCCCGGTGTAACTATGATGATATATTTACAAACCCCGGTGTAACTATGATGTTGAAATATTTACATACCTCGGTGTAACTATGATGTGTATATATTTACATACTACTGCGGTGTAACTATGATGTTGATATATTTACATACCTCGGTGTAACTATGATGTTGATATTTACATTGTAACTATGATGTCATATATTTACATACCCGGTGTAACTATGATGTTGATATATTTACATACGCCGGTGTAACTATGATGTTGATATATTTACATACTCCGGTGTAACTATGATGTTGATATATTTACATACCTCGGTGTAACTATGATGTTGAAATATTTACATACCTCAGTGTAACTCTGTTGATATATTTACATACTCCGGTGTAACTATGATGTTGATATATTTACATACCTCGGTGTAACTATGATGTGTATTTACATACCTCAGATATATTTATATATTTATACCTCGGTGTAACTATGATGTGTATATATTTACATGTATCGGTGTAACTATGATGTTGATATATTTACATACTCCAGTTTAACTATGATGTTGATATATCTACATATCCCGGTGTAACTATGATGTATATATTTAACATTCCCCGGTGTAACTATGATGATGATATATTTACAAACCCCGGTGTAACTATGATGTTAAAATATTTACATACCTCGGTGTAACTATGATGTTGATATATTTACATACTCCGGTGTAACTCTGTTGATATATTTACATACGCCGGTGTAACTATGATGTTGATATATTTACATACCTCGGTGTAACTATGATGTTGAAATATTTACATACCCCGGTGTAACTATGATGTATATATTTAACATACCCCGGTGTAACTATAATGTTGATATATTTACATACTCCAGTGTAACTATAATGTTGATATAGTAACATACATCGGTGTAACTATGATGTGTATATATTTACATACTCCGGTGTAACTATGATGTTGATATATTTACATACCTCGGTGTAACTATGATGTTGAAATATTTACATACCTCAGTGTAACTCTATTGATATATTTACATACTCTGGTGTAAAAATGATGTTGAAATATTTACATACATCGGTGTAACTATGATGTTGATATATTTACAACCCCGGTGTAACGTTGATATATTTACATACTCCAGTGTAACTATAATGTTGATATATTAACATACCCCGGTGTAACTATAATGTTGATATATTTACATACTCCAGTGTAACTATAATGTTGATATATTAACATACATCGGTGTAACTATGATGATGATTTATTTACATACCCCGGTGTAACTATGATGATGATATATTTACAAACCCCGGTGTAACTATGATGTGTAGATATTTACATGTATCGGTGTAACTCTGATTATGATAAATTTACATACCCTGATGTAACTATGATGTTGATATATTTACATACATCGGTGTAACTATGGTATTACTATTACAGATCACCATGACAACAGCCTAGATTAGCCAGATGTCCGCGCCATGCCGGGTTCCACTTTCATGCCACCATTTAACGTAAGTACATGTCTTAACATGTTTTCCTTCTTGTACATGTTATTATACATCCGTTACCAGATCGGTAACCGGTCCTCTGTTGGAGTCGGATATTAGAGTTAAATAATTTACCTACCCAATATATGTCATAGCACACAGATCACACAATACTGCGATACAGCTAGGAATTGTAACGATGCCATTTTGAATTTTAACTCGTAACTATGTTCATCGTAAGAACTTGGCGGTGCCTTTCGCAGGAAGTAAAAAGATTTGGGTATTTGTCAATGAAAAGAACTTCTTATTACCATCGTTGTGAAATCAGTAGCGTAGTCTGTTTAGGATCTAATTAGTACTTTGCAGATTTTTAGAAAAGTGTGTTTACTTGGTCCATTCTTGTTTCCAGATACGCATGATAATGTGTTTTACGTGATTATATATCTTTACTGTGGAGATTCATAATAATTCAGTGTTTAAAAAATCCATCTCTGGTTGTTTTTGTCAATTTTTTTGAAGATATAAATATAATTTTCAATCTCTTCTAGAACAAGACAAGGGCATTGTTTCATCTGTTGAAATTTTTAAACTCCGGGTACCCGCTCATTCCTGATTATCATTGTTAGGATAGAATAATCATCATTAAAAATAGTTGTATACTAGTAATCATCAAGCTGTCCAATTTTTGCCATGTGTTTTATACCCGGTCACATGTTCAGTACGGCGGTGTCGGCCAACAAATCTGTCAATATGGCCACTGGGAAGTTTAATTGTCACGAGGACGTCAAAACTTTACTTAATTGATTAATCTATTTTCCTAAGTAGCTATTGCTACAGTTTAACGGGATTACTAGTGTTTCATCGACCTAGTTACTGTCGCGATATTGAATACTGACAATATGTCACACGCCATCAGATCTCCATCTATAGGAAATATTCAGTTTTCATTGTATCCTGAATTGTGGATTGTGAAAATAAAATTTAAATGTTCATTTTCAAATTCTAGAAGACTTATCAGTTCTTTAGACGAATTGCCAATGGTCAGATGGAAGACTAACTTAAGAATTTTCTTAGATATACGATAAATTGCTAGGTGTGTTGGTTCAGGGGAGATAACTCTCACTTAAATCGTCTCCCACAGCATTACATATTCTTGCAATTTGGATGCCAAAACACCATGTGTTTCTTAAGTGAGCATGATGTCCATATAAGTAAAAGCAAAATGCAGCAGTAACAACCACCAGAGTCACCTCATGTAGGAACGATATATTGTAGTAACGAGCTTGAGATAGGTTTGTGTTTTATTCGCTTTCGACACCACACTTGATCACCTTATACTAACGTGATGGGTCTTTACTTCTGTGAATTCACTGTGACGTTTGTGTTGCCAGGGCGACGTTCCCGGTCAGGCCGTGTCCCCTTATGTTACTGTGGGTATCCTCGTGGCCGGGTTCGTTGGAGGCCTTGTCATTGTCATCGCCGTTATTCTCTTTTGCAAGTTTTGTCTAAAAAAGGACAAAGGACTCGGAAGGTACGTGTCTATTGCTTTTGTTACTCAAGTCAACCACTAAGATAAAGTTATATGACAATAAGATATGTACATGTCAGTGCAGCAGGTTAGTATCAATCAATACGGTCATTGATATAAGTTAAAAGCTATAAGATGTCCAATCCGCGAAGACTTTCTCCAAGATGCGATATCTCGCTTTAAATGATTGAAAATGCATACGTTTTATTAGCGTTTTCGTCCAACCTCTCATTCTAATGGAGATAAAGGAAGAAAAATCTACATTCTTTACGACAAAACTTGGTGGCTTTTTATGAGGTGTATGTTTTGATATAACACAGACAAAGTACAAGTGACAGCAGATATGCATCTGACAGGGAAAGACGCTTTAAACCGCTACAGCGCTATGAAACCATTAACTCGGATGTCTTCTCAGAACCCAGCACGGGATCCATGGAAGGCATTCCTATCAGTCCCCGCAAAGTCTACGATACCAGGTAGGAATTTAACGAGAGTTTATGTTATATATAAATATATAAACTTTCTTTTATAATAATTGCGGAAACAGGTTATGCTATACTAATTACTCATATTGGCCCGGATGGAAGCGCACGACGGGACTTGCTTTGTAAGTCGACGGAATACCCTGTTACATTTAACACAAAAATTCGTTTTCAAAGCGAAACTATTACTCAAACTATGTATTCCAAGCTTACCTGTCACCAAATAAACCGTTGTCTGTAAAATGAAACTTGATGTTCAAAATTGTGTTTAATTAAATTTTTAGTAACAGTTGGCTAACTGTAATCTGTCAGCAGGTCATACAATTTTATAGTACAATGTTGGAGCTTGACACTGTTTCAGTTAACTCAGATTAATTTCGAGCATTTTTGACCAAATGGAAATTATGCGCAAAGTAAAATTTATTTCATTTAAGTTTGTGTGCTGGGTATTTCAGTGCGATTGCCAGGTACATGAAAACAGATCAGGAAATTTCACGAAACGTTAAATTATTGAACTAGGTGGACCCGTGTCTGCTTCATGTCAGAATAGCACTGAAATATTAAAATACTGACACTGTCGAAAGACCAGGTGATGAAACGGAGAGACAGTGACACACGTTTGTATGGAATCCGGCTAATATTGGTGTTTATCTTATGTTGTGGTACATCTGACGTAATTTTCCTGTTAAAGCATATTTTGTAAATATAGTTCCATTCAACAACTATAATACTGTATTAGTGCGCTATTTGTACTCAAGTGATTAAATTCTACATCGTATTTCACAGAAGTGTTGAGAGGTTCCCAGCCGATGTTGAAGATATAGATGAAACAACGAAGCTCAAGTCGGACTTTGACAAAGGTACTTATCATTCAAAATGTCAACGGAACAATGTATATAGGTATTCAGATTTTAATGGAGTTACATGAAAATTTCTTTGCAAATAAGAATAAAAATGTCTCTGTATCTTCAAAAAAAATAAAATTGCTAGACAGAGCCACATGGCAAATTGTGAAGAGAAGTTCTGTTATAACACCTGTCTGTTATATTATGTAATATTCATCAGGTAAGGTATGGAAGGTGGTCAGACTATGTCGAACCAATTGTTTTGGGATCCATGTTGTTAACAAACACTGTTTCTGAATTACTGGGGCAGGTACTCGGAAACAGAATCTATGTTTTATTTCAAAATGGTGTACTGCTTCCTGTTAAAACTGATTCCTAAAGGTAGCGGCAATGGTGTAGAATAAATTTCCTTTTTCTACCATGGAACTGTAGCGACCTTGTTTTGGTAATGTTTACAATGTCTTACCAGGGGAAGAAAGTTATCACTTTGTGGTATAATGTAGCATTATTTACTCTCAAAGAATAACTACCCATCTCCTAAAAAAAAAAATCTTTGAAATCGGAAATATTGAAATATTTCGTGCATGTTTTGTGAAAGCCACTAGGCCTTTACGTCACTCCAGGCCGATCAAAATACGAGAGTAGTTGTTATTTATGAACATTATTACAATACTGTGACTTTTTCGTCGTCTGTTGATACGATAAGATATAAAATAGAGTTAGGTATCATAAGGTTTAGTGTCGTTCATTTTTGGAATTATCCCTATAATCGACTCAATGTTCTGTAACATTCATGTATATGGAATATGGAATAAGATAGGGTTTTTAGACAACATGAAATTTCCACTGTCATTTCTCAATCCATAATATGGCGATCCAATATATAACGAAAAATTGAAATGTGGCAAGTCCTACAGAAGTCGTCATCCGCCTTCCAGTCGGTATCAGGACGAACTAATGGATGACATAGTGACAGGTTATTGAGTGATACTGTAGACGGGTGTATGTATTATGTAATCCCACATACCGTTGTTACCGATATAATACTCACGGATAATAAAAGGTGCGAACAATGATCATTTTATTAATTTTAGTCAGAATTTTAGCTTTATTCACATGGCATTCTTGGTAGGAAGTTTTGTACATTACTTTTGTATATATGAATGGTAATGTTATACCATTTTTGTCCGCAGTGAGCTACCATGAGGGTATATATGAACGGTAATTTTATACCATTTTTGTCCACAGTGAGCTACCATGAGGGTATATATGAACGGTAATTTTATACCATTTTTGTCCACAGTGAGCTACCATGAGGGTATATATGAACGGTAATTTTATACCATTTTTGTCCACAGTGAGCTACCATGAGGGTATATATGAACGGTAATTTTATACCATTTTTGTCCACAGTGAGCTACCATGAGGGTATATATGAACGGTAATTTTATGCCATTTTGTCCGCAGTGAGCTACCATGAGAGTATATGAACGGTAATTTTATACCATTTTTGTCCACAGTGAGCTACCATGAGGGTATATGAACAGTAATTTTATACCATTTTTGTCCACAGTGAGCTACCATGAGAGTATATGAACAGTAATTTTATACCATTTTTGTCCACAGTGAGCTACCATGAGGGTATATGAACGGTAATTTTATACCATTTTTGTCCACAGTGAGCTACCATGAGGGTATATATGAACGGTAATTTTATACCATTTTTGTCCACAGTGAGCTACCATGAGGGTATATATGAACGGTAATTTTATACCATTTTTGTCCACAGTGAGTTACCATGAGAGTATATGAACGGTAATTTTATACCATTTTTGTCCACAGTGAGCTACCATGAGGGTATATGAACAGTAATTTTATACCATTTTTGTCCACAGTGAGCTACCATGAGAGTATATGAACAGTAATTTTATACCATTTTTGTCCACAGTGAGCTACCATGAGGGTATATGAACGGTAATTTTATACCATTTTTGTCCACAGTGAGCTACCATGAGGGTATATATGAACGGTAATTTTATACCATTTTTGTCCACAGTGAGCTACCATGAGAGTATATGAACAGTAATTTTATACCATTTTTGTCCGCAGTGAGCTACCATGAGAGTATATGAACAGTAATTTTATACCATTTTTGTCCGCAGTGAGCTACCATGAGAGTATATGAACAGTAATTTTATACCATTTTTGTCCGCAGTGAGCTACCATGAGAGTATATGAACAGTAATTTTATACCATTTTTGTCCACAGTGAGCTACCATGAGAGTATATGAACAGTAATTTTATACCATTTTTGTCCACAGTGAGCTACCATGAGAGTACATGAACAGTAATTTTATACCATTTTTGTCCGCAGTGAGCTACCATGAGAGTATATGAACAGTAATTTTATACCATTTTTGTCCACAGTGAGCTACCATGAGAGTATATGAACAGTAATTTTATACCATTTTTGTCCACAGTGAGCTACCATGAGGGTATATATGAATGGTAATGTTATACCATTTTGTCCGCAGTGAGCTACCATGAGAGTATATGAACGGTAATTTTATACCATTTTTGTCCACAGTGAGCTACCATGAGAGTATATGAACAGTAATTTTATACCATTTTTGTCCACAGTGAGCTACCATGAGAGTATATGAACAGTAATTTTATACCATTTTTGTCCACAGTGAGCTACCATGAGAGTATATGTACAGTAATTTTATACCATTTTTGTCCGCAGTGAGCTACCATGAGAGTATATGAACAGTAATTTTATACCATTTTTGTCCACAGTGAGCTACCATGAGAGTATATGAACAGTAATTTTATACCATTTTTGTCCACAGTGAGCTACCATGAGAGTACATGAACAGTAATTTTATACCATTTTTGTCCGCAGTGAGCTACCATGAGAGTATATGAACAGTAATTTTATACCATTTTTGTCCACAGTGAGCTACCATGAGAGTATATGAACAGTAATTTTATACCATTTTTGTCCACAGTGAGCTACCATGAGGGTATATATGAATGGTAATGTTATACCATTTTGTCCGCAGTGAGCTACCATGAGAGTATATGAACGGTAATTTTATACCATTTTTGTCCACAGTGAGCTACCATGAGAGTATATGAACAGTAATTTTATACCATTTTTGTCCACAGTGAGCTACCATGAGAGTATATGAACAGTAATTTTATACCATTTTTGTCCACAGTGAGCTACCATGAGAGTATATGTACAGTAATTTTATACCATTTTTGTCCGCAGTGAGCTACCATGAGAGTATATGAACAGTAATTTTATACCATTTTTGTCCACAGTGAGCTACCATGAGAGTATATGAACAGTAATTTTATACCATTTTTGTCCACAGTGAGCTACCATGAGAGTATATGAACAGTAATTTTATACCATTTTTGTCCACAGTGAGCTACCATGAGGGTGTATATGAACGGTAATTTCATACCATTTTTGTCCACAGTTAGCTACCATGAGGGTGTATATGAACGGTAATTTTATACCATTTTTGTCCACAGTGAGCTACTATGAGGGTATATATGAACGGTAATTTTATACCATTTTTGTCCACAGTGAGCTACAATGAGGGTATAGAAGAGAGTGAACATGTGCCACCACAAATTTCTGAGGACTCCCCTACAGAAAGGATGGGGAGGCGAGTATCATTTCAGCTCCAACACCTGACAAAGACGTCACTCTACCTCCATCGGGGAAGAAGGTCCGCTCAAACTGCTCAACATTGCACGAGGAACGATACCATTTTCAACCTTTGACCCCTTTTGCGTTGTCCTGCAACATGATTCTTTACTAAGAAGTAGTTATATTGTCGACGATAAACAGACTTGATTTACGAGTATCATTGATGTACATGTTGTATACAGGTCATCCCTCCTCTTTATCTCCCCTGTCAATGTAGGCTGATATCCTTACAGGTTATTATCTCTATGTTTGTTTTGTTTTGTTTTTGTTAGGGCATTTGTGTTAACAACAGACGCTTCTCTTGACCTTCATTCCTGGGGATAGGTGACTGTGTTAACAACAGACGCTTCTATTGACGTTCATTCCTGGGGATAGGTGACTGTGTTAACAACAGACGCTTCTATTGACCTTCATTCCTGGGGATATGTGACTGTGTTAACAACAGACGCTTCTATTGACCTTCATTCCTGGGGATATGTGACTGTGTTAACAACAGACGCTTCTATTGGCGTTTATTCCTTTGGAAAGGTGACTGTGTTAACAACAGACGCTTCTCTTGACCTTCATTCCTATGGATATGTGACTGTGATAACAGACTATATTAACATCTGTCGGGGTCTTTTTGGTTTTTTTTTCAATGGTTTGGTAACTATGGTCTTACAAAATATGATCTTCTCTCGTGTATTCTTTTCTTTGTCAAGGTATCAATGTTAACAGAGCGCAGTAAATCATCTTCTTTCGGCCTCGGGAACAGACTAACCCTTTTAATCTTCTGCCCCCCATGTTTGATGTTGCTATGGTAACATAAAACCGATCCCTCTCTCTGATTCATGTCCATATTTGGTCTTACTGAACACAAAAGAATATACCTTCTTTCAGTTCTTAAGCGATGTTTACTGTTACTATGGTAACACAATAGATTATCCCCTCTTTTCTGTTTGTTGAATAAAAAGTCAACCTCAGGTAGTATATTATAGCAATGCTTGTCGTCCCATACTTGATATTGTGTAACAGGCTTTTTACTCGGTATATCAAATTAAAAATCAAACTTGATCTCTTTGAAATTTGATGATTAAGAATTTTATTTTTTGACAAGAGAAATCTGACAAATTTATCGAATAAAATATCAGTTGAAAATAAATCTCTTTCACACTCTTCAAAACAAAAAGTCCAGATATGGTATCCTCATTGTTTTGTACCAACTGTGGTGTTCCGCATTCGGTCACATGACGCGAAATACCCATGTTCCCATGCATGTTGTCTGCCAGCAGTTTGAATGTGCCTCCCTATCTCGAACCGGAAGTGATGTTCCCTTTCTGCATATTATGGCTATAACCAGATCTGTGTACAATTATTGTTATGTGATGTATCACAAGGTAACGCTGTGGTAGCTACTTATTTAGTAGAATTAATAATGAGTTATTACCTCGAAAAATGGTTTGCATGCACGACATCAAGTTTACTATCAAGTTTTAAGCGGATGTCCTTACTTTAGTGAAAGAAGAATATTTCTTTCCTTTTATACCCTGGTTATTTATGCGATAGTGAGAAAAAATATGATTAATTCAATTGTTGTTTGCAGTGTGCGCTATAGAAGTTTATACGTAATGCTCCTTTAACCATTTCTCATTGGTTGCTGGTAATATCATTACAGGTATACAGAGGGGGACTTCCATCACTTGAAAAAGTCCCGCATAGATAAAAACATACGGAAGCAATGTTCCCTCGGCCCGCCATTTCAAGGACAGGAAATGAGTAGCCCCACCACACCAGACCGACGTCATTCGGATTTTTACATGGAAGATGAATATATTGGAAGTCCAAAACCAGAACCATTTATATCTACATCCGCAGTTATGTCCCTTGGCGACTCTCCCTCGCCAACTGATACAGCACCGTTACATCGAGAAGTGGCTGTCGAGATACATCATAATGGTCGAGGACGAAATGGAAGTGGCGGCAGTGTTGGCAGCTGCCGCAGTGGTCGAAGTGTTGGAAGTGATGGTAGTGGAGGGCGTATCGGAAGCAGTGGCAGTGGGGGTCGACAAAGAAGTAGTGGTAGTGGGGGTCGTCTCGGAAGTAGTGGTAGCGGGGGCCGTCTCGGAAGTAGTGGTAGTGGTGGACGTCTCGGAAGCTTTGGCAGTGGTGGCAGCATCAACAGTGGTGGAGGTGTGTGTCAGAGTAACAATGAGAGTAGGCGTCATTCACTTGGTTTTGGTGGATCGGTTGCTCCTAAAGCCGAAAGGCGAGTGCGCTCCCATTCACACAGCCTTGACACTAATCGAATATTTGAGAGAGTGAATGAACGAAAAGTGAAAAGTTTTGAGGATATTGTTGATTACGATGTGTTAAAAATAACAGAATTCAAAGGACCATTCTACAACACAGACTTCGACGTGATATCGGAACTTAATTCACCGGACACGTGCAAAGTCCGGTACAATGATACGGGCAGTATCGAGATACTAAACGAGGACCAGCTGGACGAGATGGATATGTATGGAGAGCTAGACACGATACGAGTAGATAGTGATGATACGGACACATTAAACGGCACGCAGAAGTATCGCGAGCTGTGGAATCTGCGAACAACGTTCGAGGAGGAGGAAGAATGTAGTGATACCATTCGTATGGAGGACATGATGTCGCCGGATCAGTCTCCAGACGGAGAAGTGCCTAACTCATACACCACATCGTTTGAATCGAATACCGAGTCGGTGCCATACGCAGAATGTGTTGAGAAACGTTGTAGTCCCCATAGTGGTGACTGCCCGCAGAACTCGGGCTGTCACCAGTTACATCCCTCTCATTACGAAAACAGGAGACAAAACTATAAGAATATTTTAGCTAAGAGACTGCAGCGAAAACCCCCGAATGCGAGTGCCGACAATAGTTTTGATAGCATAGAGACTGTGGACACCGACGGTGATGTATCTGACACTAGCAGACCCGAGGTGACGACCACGTCATTCGAGTCTACAACAGATAACACAGACAGTACAACAGAGAGTCAAAACCACAAACTGATTCAGATGAAGGCGGATAGTGGGTATAAGTCCTTAGAGACACAGTCTCCATATGTCAAACGGACTCACAGTACTAGTGAGATTGAAGTGCTGGAGGAAGTCGGCAGTCCTGAGCCATGTGCACGTATCTATACACATTCCTATTCTCTTCCGGAAGCGGGAACGTCTAAAGAGGCGTACGGCCGACGGTCCAAATACTTTGAAAGGAGAAACGGAAAGACCGCATCAAAAAAGCGAAGGGAGTACAGTCGGGAAAGGCAGATTGTACAAATTTATGAAAGCATCAATGAACCAGAGACAGATTCGAGATCGGACCAACCTTCTGGTGACAGTTTTGAGGAAACACATACACCAAGTAAGTCGTCTTTGTTCTCACGCTTCTTTAAATCACACCGGGAGCCAAAGGAACGTATCATGATGCGAGACTTAAGTGTCGACCAGAAAACGTACAAAGTTTTCCAGGAGTTTGTTCGGTACGACCCTTCACTTGAAACAACTCGGTCGAGTCGACACCGATCCCCGCGGTTCACGCGTCACAGGTTGCAGAGGAAACATACAGATCCAATATACTTTGAAGAACGACGACGTAATCGGTTAACCCCTGAACTTAGAAGCACGAGTCTGGGAAGTGATAGCAGTGCGAGCTCAGCGCGTCGTCTGTCGCCACAGGACAGCATAGAGGAAGAGGACTATGATAAAGTGCGCGAGGCGGAGGAAGAGGAGGGTTGGTCACCGGAACAGGCTTCCAGGGAAGCCGTGGGCAGACAATCACTAACAGTCTCAGTTCATGACATTCCAGTTATCCACCTACCGGAGGAGGAGGCGTGTACCGCTGCTGATGTTTAGAATTGCTATCATCGCCACAGGAACCAATATGGCGCCACGTTGTGGCAAAATGACATCAGATGTAATTTTTGTTCATATTTTACTTTCGCCACAATTTGGCGAACGAATGTTTGATATTGAATTTGTTTTTAACTGTGACGTCATCTGAGGTATATACTTGTAGGCCTCATACAGTCTAATGATGTAACACGTTAATTGATGATTAACCAATATATTATTTTTAAACAATTTTTTTATTTACAGACCAGTAGAAACATTTATGTTGATACTGATGTGACGTTACATTATTCACACGATATTCTATTATCAATGAACAATCGAAATTGTTTAGTCAATTGATATATATATATATATATATATATATATATCTTACTTATTTGGTGCCAATTAACATTTTCTTACCTCTTGTTTTCATACTGACATGTTTTACACTGAGGTCATAGGTCATTGAATTACATCTGAAGGAGTAACGCATTCACATACTAACAAGATAGGAAGAGTTAATTCTTTCTCTGTGACAGCACTCTGATGTTGTTAGAGAGCGGATAGTTATCTCCCTTACCCAGGCAGTACATTATTGAGAAATACCTCCCTTCATACTGACAACAGGATTTGTAACGTGTTTCGATATTGTTACAGTGAATGGGTCATTTAAAGGTAAATTGTAAGAAAAGATAAACAGTTTTGTATCATTTTGGGGACACTTCTAGGTGAATCGTAAAGAATATAAAGCAATAGTTATGTATATCACCGAGGTCATCGTGTATCACCGGACTGTACAATGGGCGGTCACTCTAGAACACGTTAGGTAAGATAATTCATTTTATTACCTGCGGAAGAGCTATCGTAGACATTGCATATTCGTTTCTTAAAGGTTCAAAAACACGACAGAAATATAAAGTTCACATATCGATAACGTAAGTTTGTAACCTCTTAATAGAGAAACAAAAATGAAACAACATTCATAGCCAAATTTATATTGCAAGTAGCTAAATCATGCATTGTAAAGTTACCGCTTCTGTACTCTGTACTAGCCATGCATACAGTGATCATGTTTAGGTATAACTGAGTCGGAAAGTGTACTGCGCATGGGATTGTGTACGGCTTGTATGATCTGTTCATCGAAAGATGTATTTTGAATAATGATTCTCAGTTACATGTACAATCATCAAAGTTAGCGCACCTAGTCAGCCATGTTACCGACATTCTCCTCCTCCGATTAACAATTACATACAGCATCTTTATAGTTACCATGGATATATTTTGTGACAAGGTCGAACGCTTATCCACAGACTTGGTATTCTGTATTGGTTGTGAACTTCTTAGAAACGATTGTGCAAGGTTTGGAATCGTGCCTTTTCTTTGGAAAGCAAATATAGAGATTTTCTTCCGTTGTGTTTCCATCGTGATTTCACCCCGTTCATTTTAGTACCGATGATACACGATGTTGTCACCCAAATCAACCAGACAAGCTAATGTGTAAGGATTTGCCACGTGGTAATCATTTTTCGCTCAAAGTCAAGGATATCAAAGCCATGGAAACAACGTTTATATTTCCTGTAATTAATCTGCACATGATCTGTTAACTTCGACAGATATCAATTTGATGTGTGCTCCAATTAGAATTATGAATCTCTATTTTGACCTCCGTGAGGTATCAACATGGGATGTCAGTAGTGACCATTTGTAGATACATCAGGGTTATGGTTATATAATAAAGACAAGTGTCGTTCTAGTTATCTGTGGTAATATTTTGAATTTTCCTTGTCAAATGTGATTTATCTAAAAGCCAAGTAGTGTTATCATGTTAACCTGAATGACATTTAGATATTAAAGATTACACCAAATCTATGATCTCAGATATCATCGTAATCAGTCTGATTTGAAAAGGGGAATGTTTTCTTTGTTTAGGCCAGTTACAATACTGGTGAAAAAAGTCAACTCATTGAGGACTTTAGTCAGTCTTACATTTTAAACAATTGTCGTTGACAAGTTACTTTTTGACTCTCATCATCGACAAGTTACTTTTTGTCCTTCTCATTGACAAACTACTTTTGACTCTCGTTATTGACAAGTTACTTTTTGTCCTTCGTCATCGACAAGTTACTTATTGACTCTCGTTATTGACAAGTTACTTTTTGTCCTTTTACTTTTTGTCCTTCGTCATCGACAAGTTACTTTTTGACTCTCGTTACAAGTTACTTATTGACTCTCGTTATTGACACTTATTGATTCTCGTTATTGAAAAGTTACTTTTTGTCCTTCTCATTGACAAACTACTTTTGACTCTCGTTATTGACAAGTTACTTTTTGTCCTTCGTCATCGACAAGTTACTTATTGACTCTCGTTATTGACAAGTTACTTTTTGTCCTTCGTCATCGACAAGTTACTTTTTGTCCTTCGTCATCGACAAGTTACTTTTTGACTCTCGTTATCGACAAGTTACTTATTGACTCTCGTTATTGACAAGTTACTTATTGACTCTCGTCATCGACAAGTTACTTATTGATTCTCGTTATTGAAAAGTTACTTTTTGTCCTTCGTCATTGACAAACTACCTTTGACTCTCGTCATCGACAAGTTGCGTTTTGACTCTCGTCATTGACATATAACTTTTTGACTGTCGTCTGTGAGAAATTACATTTTGGCTCTCATCATTGACAAGTTTTCTTTTTACTTTTTGACCTTCGTCATTGACAAACTACATTTGACTCTCATCATGGACAAATTACTTTTTGACTCTCGTTATCGGCATGTTACTTTTGACTATTGTCAGTGACAAATTACGTTTTGACTCACATCATCGACAAGTTATTTTTTGACTCTCATCATTGACAAGTTACTTTTTGACCTTCGCCATTGACAAACTGCTTTTGACTCTCGACATAGACAAATAACGTTTTGACTCTCGTCATTGGCAAATTACTTTTTGACTAAAGTCGGTGACAAATTACATTTTGGCTCTTGTCGGTTCCAAATTACTTTTTGGCTTTTTACTTACTTAGGTGACAGCAAATCAGGGAGTATTTAATTGTTATTTACCAGCGACGATTTACTTTTTGACTAACTATAGCTTCAACTTAAGTTTTGACTTACGTCAATGACAACTCACTCGATTAATTACATCTTCCCTGAACACAATGACAGTCTTACACTTGGTTGACCTAGTTACTTAAGTAAAAAACTGTTTGTCGTGGTGAACTAATGCTATATGATACCGCCTATTGTTGAACAGATTTAGAGTCTATGTACCCAAAGTAGCCCATCGCTCAGCACGAACACCATGATATTCCAATAATTAACATTTTCGTTTGTTCTCGGGATGTTTTTGATAAATGAGTTTTGGGGTACGTTGGTATTGTAATATTTTGCATGTACTTGAAAGTCGTTTCGCATGAATTATATTTATAAAAAGTTTACGAAAATCTTTTTTCAATTTTATACATACATCACCAAATGTTTAAACCCTGTTGTCCGTTAGCTTAACTAAGTGCACTACTAACTGTTTACGCCTTATCTGTGACGTCATCACAGATGTGTCTACCGGTGTAGTGGGAAATATCTACCAACACAATATTTGTACAGTTCGTTCAATGAATATGAATCCAATCACATATGATGTCAACATTGTACTTTTATCAATTCTACACCAATTTCGTTTTTTGATAAATAACCATGTTATCACTTGTATAAAGACAGTTAATACATTGCATTAACTAGATTTTCTGCTTGATATTTTCTATTTTCATAGACTTAAATCTCATAAGCCATCATTGTTAACTGTCACGAACATCCAGCATTATAACTCCCATGGTACACCGGTGTTTGGTGCTTCTCCTTGACCCCGGGGAGAACTTTTGTCAAATCCTATATGTTATAAATGTACATTTTTTAAATATATTTTTCTACCCATCCGATGAGAAGATGTAAATGTGGATGACGTTTGAGCACCTGTATGTCAAAAGGTCATTGTTCATACCGACAACTGTGTAGTATCCATTGTATTCCACATCTTTCGTAACTGATAAATGTCTCTCCCGGTTAAAATTCAAAGCCCATCATGGTTCCACATCTTGGCCAAAGCTTTATACACCACTGGTCGTGTCAGTTCATGACTTGCCATACCCGTTGTCTGCGTGTCACGTGTTCCCATTCCACTTGACTCAGCAGATCCCGCTCTTAAACCTTGTGTCAACCATTATTCAAAGCCTAACATTCATATTAGATAAAGTCTATATTAAAATTCTATCGTTTTACTTAAAACACGTGTGTTTGTTGTCTGTTTGATATGTTTTTATGGCGTGATGAAATATGAAATGTGTTATATTTTTATGTTATCCTACCGGAAGCTTGGATATCGTTACAGTTACTGGTTACCTACAATGTAAGCTTCTGATAGAAATGAGCCGACTGGACTACCAAGGATATATCAAGAATCGGGAGAACCGTGTCATCCAAACATTGTTTTATTACTTATTTATTATCTTTCAACAAGATATTAAATGCGTTTTTCTTTCAAGTGTTATGTTTAATTTAGCTCTAAAAGAAGATAATAGCAATAGAGACTTATCCGCCCACCTTCTGATGTTAACAATCATTCCTTAGCACTTGTTGTCACAGTGATATGGCAAAGGATATTTTATCTTTGGATCTGAGTTTCACAAACGCAGCTCAATTCGTTATATTGTTCTACAGTATCTAATTCATAATCTTTACTAGAGTTTGTGTCTTTTACTATATTCTCATTACCGTACAGACAATTACAAAGCAAAAATATCAAAAACATCTCTCGGAAAAAACACTCCAATGTAATTCTTCTTTTACTTTTGTTAGGCATTGTCACTCTCTTCCGAAACACTACACAATTGAGCCCTCATTTACATTGATCCCCGTTCACAAAAACATAATGGTCAAAATACCTGAACATGTGAAACAATTGAAGATTTACTTCTTTCCCATAGTGGGCACCTCACCTCCTTGTAAAGAGGGCCATTCCTTTCCTATCTACGAAAATAAATCTCCTGGAACCAAAGATGCTCCAAAAAGAAAGAAAAAGTTAAAATTCCATCAGAACAGAATTTTTAAAGAATTCACTAGGTTTCCCTATTGTGCTCGTGTTCCTTTCACATCCACACTTTCCGTTTATACTGAAGTAAGTTATCTTCATTCAAGGATATTAAAAAAACAAAATTCTGCATGTTTTCTTGACAAGTAACTTAAGGTCTCGCGGACGAAAGGTGTGACAATATGAAGTCTACTGATCGAATCTTTCGTCATAAAGTTAAACAGGTGTGATGATTGAAATTGTCGCCCTTGGCAATGTTGACATCAATTATTCCCGTTGGAATCCCTTTTAGTTTACTAATATTGCAGACTTCTTATAAGCCTGATTGTTTTTGTCGCACATCTCGTAATTGAATTCCTGTACATTAAATGACATCAAACTTTGCTTCCAGTCGTCATTCCCAATCAGTCGTCGTCTGCTTACTGTTTAAAAGAGTCCACATTGTCTAAAATTCTATCACGTCTCCTTGTAACTGTCGTCTGCCATCTTTGTTGTTTACTCTAAAGCTGGGTCGGTGTAATGTTTGTTTCAATGGTCCAGAAACATTGCGTGCGCCTATGAGCAAGATGATATTTTAAAATAACCGTTATCTAAAAGCAATCGGACAATATACTATTTTTGTAAACTTTTAATTTTTATCGTGTGATTATGAGACCCAACCAATGAGAAAGAGAAACAATGTGAGATTTTTATCTTGAACGTCATTTATAAATCACCTACCTTGCATAATTGCATAATTCATATCACATTTCGACATGTTCGCTACACTGCTTAGTTACAGGGTTTCATGCTGAAACATAGCTGTGATAGAATGTTCCTCGATTTGAACTTTGAATGGTATAAATGGTACATCGTGGGTTTCGTGAAGTCAAAGATTACTTTGAAAATTTATGTTATCATTATTAGTGATAAACAGTATCCCAATAAGGGTCGGAATCAACAATAAAATTATGTACGGTATGTACAAGTGAATACCAGTGTACTGTGGGTAAAGATTCAGCAGTATCATAAATATCCATGGAAACTTACATATCACATGATAACATTTTATTTTATTGAGCTGGTCGTAATCAGTCTAGATGGTATGAAAGTTACATGTACAACATCATGCGAGAATCTGAGTTTTAAGGGTTTTTCATGTTTGTATGTCTTTGATGACACATACAGTTTTAATGATATGTGGTACAAAGTAGTCTTGTAAATAATCAATTATATCATACCGTTTTATTTTAGCGAAATTACATTAGGTATAAATCCGCTAAAAAGTTACAAATCAAAACTACATGTTTTTACGAATTTATGAAGCAAGAATCAATAACTCTCAAAAACACAAAAATAAAAGTCAAGACGAAAACATGAATCCTACAATTATCTATAAGCGAAAATTCCACAGTATTTCATAGTATTACGTCCCCAGCTCGTTTCACAGTCGTCAGGAAATACTTAGGGGTACGCTCCATTCACAATGAAGATGTTGGTCCAGTGCAGTATGAATACTTTAAATGCGGAACAAAGATACCTTGTTTGAATTGTCTTCCTCTTGAATAAATATACTCACATAAACTAGGATAATGTAAGACTGAAACATGCTTCTATGAAAATAGATAGCTTGTTTGTTGTCTATGATATTAGATAAAATGTTTACCAAATGTGGTATTTCAGTCCATCCAAATATTCAAAATCAAATATTTAAAACTCCTCCAACCCAACTCCCCAACCCTGCTGATTTATTTCAGTTGCAACTATCGTCACCACAACTGGACATATCTTTTTAAACCAAGACACACAAATGTTCAGCAACTTTTACTATATTTTAAGAATAAGACAAGGCTGTTATGCAGTGATAAACACGGATCAAACTGCATCATGAAATCAGAAGGCGTCAATGATGCTAAGGCCTTAGATCATGACCTAGGAAAATGATAATTGGTTGAAAGACAATAAAGTCATTATTTTCAATATCTAAAAGGATGTGAAGTACATGTCTTTTTCAATAAAATATGTTTAATTTCTTCTCAGCCATAACCTATTTTGGGACATTAGATCATTTATGTAACAAGGCTAGTTTCAGCTATAGCGCTCCAATATTTTAACATTAAACGGCTTTCATATAGGATAGATCTATATGTCTAAATATATATCGGCCAGAGAAACAGGATGCACCAGGAACCAATGTATTCTGTGTTTTTAACGTGACGTTTGTACATACAATGTTTCTTCTTCCTGGAGATGTACGTCTATATCATCATCGTGTCGCACTGACAACTGGATTTGTGAATCTGTTTCACACTCTTTTCTAGATGCATTACTAATGCATGGAAATGCATGTGAGAGATAAAATCCAGTTCCCGACCCCAAAACCACTGCCGTATATATCCAAATATTAAATGTCATCACAAACAACATCAGACAATATCCGACGGCAACACGCAACACGTGGTATATTGTAACCACCATCTGTGTCTTCATTGAAGTACTGCAGATCGATGACTTTTCTTTTCTGTTAGAAATAAATAACAATTGATAAATAAATACTATATGCGTATAGACGGGTAGTTTTCTGCAAAATTTAATATTCAATATATTCAATATCTATGTCGACGGACGTCGACAAAAGGAAAAGGGAAAAAGACGTCGTACCCGTATTTCACTAGGTGTGAGGGAGGTCGTTCCTATAATTGACCAATGGTTAAGTTGCCGTACCTGTGCTTGACTGTTTTTTCGATGCCGTTATGTTCTAACGTAAATTTCATTATGACGTGTATGTACTCCAACAGGACGGCCAGGATAACAGACACCAACATGGCGAACACCAGACCTGAAAATGTACAAAGTATTTATCTAGAAATGACAAAAATGACATTATGCTTCGATTTCAGGACAGAAAATTTTAAAGGACCTCTTGTTTAACTCAAGCAACGCCACAAATATAAAATCCTGACAAAACCAATTTCACAATATGACATCATTATTTAGGACCCTTATGCAGTTTTATTACTTTCCCGTCGAAAAGCAATGTTGATCGCAGCTCTTGATTAAGTAAAACTGAAAGTGTCGTTGTCTAATATATTGCTACATCCTTCTTTCTGGAATAACAAAAAAATCAAAGTATACAAAATGGCTTTTTAACAATCTAGCGAAATTGAAATTCTATCCGTATTATCAGAGTAGTAGGTATATATTTGGGTATTTGAAAGAGGACGACAGTCAATTTAATAGACAACATGAATAAATAAGTATCTGTTATCTTCAGAATAAATTGAGTGAATAAATTACCTACAGGTATACTGACACACCCTCATCAATAGGACGTACTGTTAACATCTAGTCTTATTCTCCTTAAATTCGCGAAAAACCGTTGTTTTCTTGAACAAAGTGTCTAGAATACAAGGTGAATTGTTTTGAATTAATATGATATTGTAGATAAATAGAAATGTTCTGTTACGATGAAAACTAATTTTAGAATAATTGCTACATTTAGGGCAGGCCAGGCTGACGGTTGATCCCAGACTGCAACGCATGTCCCACGGCGTTATTATGTAATTCTATCTTAACAGCATTGTAATCACCTAAGTCCTCAGGAAATCTTGTGACATGCCTATATGGTAGCGAAGGGGTGGGAAGCCGATAACATCCACGAGTGAAGGAAAAATCTGTCTGCGGTAGGTAATTCGTGTGTGAGCAGAGGTTCCAACCTCGAATTCTACTCCAGAATAGCAAATTATTAAGCAATAATTCTAAATGCAGATGTTACAAGAATATTTTTATTTAAAAATACACATACGTATATGCATGATAGACACTATAATAATTGAAAGTTAATGGAAATCACCTTAAATTTAGGTGTAGGTACTAACTTCTTATCTACAAACATTTGCGAGGCGAGGGCCAAGGTGTATTTTAGTGGGTCTTGAAAGTCATTCCTTTAGATAAAAGTATATAGAGATGTTTTTGCATATTTGAAAATAAGACACAAAATATTCTCTGGAACCATTTACGATTTCTACAAACAAGAACTGTCCCGCAGATTTGTACTCGCGCCCCCTGGTGCATGATCGTAATATTTTCCTTCTTTTCTGATCATCTTTCTTCTTCCTAACGTCTCCCTTTGCGCTGCTTCATTTTTGTTGTGAAACATTATAAAACTATACTAAACCAGGTAGGAGACATGAACGAAATAGAAATCACTGTTTAATGTTAAAATATTGGAGCAAGTATTATCTGTTTTAAAGATTTTAATGCAATCTGGTAGTTATTTTAACAAGAGTGCTAACTAAACGACTTGAAACTTTCCCCCCAGTAAAATGAGAGGTTGTTTGATGTTATGAGTGTGAAACATAGAAAAGAAAACAAATCTAAGGCATGAAAATATCCATACAATTTATTCCAGGAAGTAAAACGCCTTTTTGTGTCGAGGCCGTTTATCGCCTCATCTTTGGAAACTCCCATCAATATGATTACGGAACCCAATAAAATTGTATTCTTAAACATATCCATGTTAAACCTTGCATGACAACTTTTGTGCTATTAATAGACCATATGTCGGTTAATGATGTAGTATGTGTATGTACACAGTGTATTTATCTGATGTTTATGACGTGTCTATATATAACGTAACACGAAATATACCTGGTATCGTCCCGGTATCCCAAATCTTCAGTATCACCGTCTCCCCGCTGGTGTTGGTGGACATGGTCATCTGAACAAGAAACATAATAATGTTGATAAGAATAAATGAGAAACGAACAAAAAGAGAACATGTACTGAAAGACAATAACGGCATTATTTTTGCCATTACTTCATTATAATCTAACTATTGAAATGAGTAGAACACCAATAAGACTACATTCATCTTAAGCCAAGTGTGATATACGTTTTGTGTATTCATATCAAAAGCATTTATCGACTAGAATGAAATCAAGTGAGGGGTCTTGTGATATAGGAGGAGATATCCAAGTACCCACGCCAAATCCACGCGGTCGGACAGGTAAACGTATATCTACGTACACATGTCCACAAGTAGGTGGAAGGCGAGTGTTTAACTAATACTCCTATTGACAATTGACTGTTGAAGTGGTATATCAATATACAAGGACAATACCATGGAAAAAGTACCATAGATATACTGTAATGTCGGTAACCCTTGTCAAACAAAGTTGGTATTCATCAAACATGGCTAAAATACCAACGTCAAACAACATCAAAACATGTATTGTCAAACAACATCCATGTAAAATACCAACGTCGTATTGTCAAACAACATCTAAACATGTAAAATACCAACGTCGTATTGTCAAACAACATCAAAACATGTAAAATACCAACGTAGTATTGTCAACAACATCAAAACATGTAAAATACCAACATCGTACTGTCAAACAACATCTAAACATGTAAAATACCAACGTCGTATTGTCAAACAACATCAAAACATGTAAAATACCAACATCATTGTCAAACAACATCTAAACATGTAAAATACCAACGTCGTATTGTCAAACAACATCAAAACATGTAAAATACCAACGTCGTATTGTCAAACAACATCAAAACATGTAAAATACCAACGTCGTATTGTCAAACAACATCTAAACATGTAAAATACCAACGTCGTACTGTCAAACAACATCTAAACATGTAAAATACCAACGTCGTACTGTCAAACAACATCTAAACATGTAAAATACCAACGTCAAATCTAAACATGTAAAATACCAACGTCGTAAAATACCAACGTGTCAAACAACATCAAAACATGTAAAATACCAACGTCGTATTGTCAAACAACATCAAAACATGTAAAATACCAACGTCGTATTGTCAAACAACATCAAAACATGTAAAATACCAACGTCGTACTGTCAAACAACATCTAAACATGTAAAATACCAACGTCGTACTGTCAAACAACATCTAAACATGTAAAATACCAACGTCGTACTGTCAAACAACATCTAAACATGTAAAATACCAACATCATTGTCAAACAACATCTAAACATGTAAAATACCAACGTCGTATTGTCAAACAACATCAAAACATGTAAAATACCAACGTCGTATTGTCAAACAACATCAAAACATGTAAAATACCAACGTCGTATTGTCAAACAACATCAAAACAACGTCGTAAAATACCAACGTAAAATACCAACGTCTGTCAAACAACATCAAAACATGTCAAACAACATCAAAACATGTAAAATACCAACGTCGTATTGTCAAACAACATCAAAACATGTAAAATACCAACGTCGTAATGTCAAACAACATCAAAACATGTAAAATACCAACGTCGTATTGTCAAACAACATCTAAACATGTAAAATACCAACGTCGTACTGTCAAACAACATCTAAACATGTAAAATACCAACGTCGTATTGTCAAACAACATCAAAACATGTAAAATACCAACGTCGTATTGTCAAACAACATCAAAACATGTAAAATACCAACGTCGTATTGTCAAACAACATCAAAACATGTAAAATACCAACATCATTGTCAAACAACATATAAACATGTAAAATACCAACGTCGTATTGTCAAACAACATCAAAACATGTAAAATACCAACATCGTATTGTCAAACAACATCAAAACATGTAAAATACCAACGTTGTATTGTCAAACAACATCTAAACATGTAAAATACCAACGTCGTATTGTCAAACAACATCAAAACATGTAAAATACCAACATCGTATTGTCAAACAACATCTAAACATGTAAAATACCAACGTCGTATTGTCAAACAACATCAAAACATGTAAAATACCAACGTCGTATTGTCAAACAACATCAAAACATGTAAAATACCAACGTCGTATTGTCAAACAACATCAAAACATGTAAAATACCAACGTCGTATTGTCAAACAACATCAAAACATGTAAAATACCAACGTCGTATTGTCAAACAACATCAAAACATGTAAAATACCAACGTCGTATTGTCAAACAACATCAAAACATGTAAAATACCAACGTCGTATTGTCAAACAACATCAAAACATGTAAAATACCAACGTCGTATTGTCAAACAACATCAAAACATGTAAAATACCAACGTCGTATTGTCAAACAACATCAAAACATGTAAAATACCAACGTCGTACTGTCAAACAACATCAAAACATGTAAAATACCAACGTCGTATTGTCAAACAACATCAAAACATGTAAAATACCAACATCGTATTGTCAAACAACATCAAAACATGTAAAATACCAACGTCTTATTGTAAAACTTGATCTTACTAATTAATATACCAATGTCGTATTGTCAAACAACATCAAAACATGTAAAATACCAACGTCGTTGTAAAATACCAACGTCGTATTGTCAAACAACATCAAAACATGTAAAATACCAACGTCGTATTGTCAAACAACATCAAAACATGTAAAATACCAACGTAGTATTGTCAACAACATCAAAACATGTAAAATACCAACATCGTATTGTCAAACAACATCAAAACATGTAAAATACCAACATCGTATTGTCAAACAACATCTAAACATGTAAAATACCAACATCGTATTGTCAAACAACATCTAAACATGTAAAATACCAACATCGTATTGTCAAACAACATTTAAACATGTAACAACATGTATTCTAAACATGTATAAACAACATCATGTAAACATGTAAAATAAACATGTAAAATACCAACGTCGTATTGTTAAGCAACATCTTAACATGTAAAATACCAACATCATAACAGCAAACAACATGAATTATACAACATTGAAACAACATTTTAAAAAACATACGTTACAACAGCAAACAACATTAAAACCACATGTAAATTATGAACGTTGTATTAGCATCAAAACAACATGTGAAATACCAACATCATAACAACGGATAACAGTACTACAAAATCCAAAGACACCATACCTCAAAACCAAAACGTGTAAAAGTATACAAGGAGATAGCATTCCACGGTTCTTAAGAGCAATATCATTATTTGATATAACGGCGAAAGACAACGTCATTTGTTTGTTTCAGAAGTTGCACCAGTTCTGTTGTAATTCCAATACTATACTATTCTATATCATAATTACCACAACCTGTTATGTATCTCTATGTCAAACCACAAGTAGTGTCAGATTTGCCAAATGTACGGTTGGGTACCGACGAACCTACTCGAAATGTTTACAGGTATCAAATTAAATAAAATACACTCAAGTCAAATCACACTGGTGTATTTAACCCAAACAACGCTTCCAAAAGGACAGAGAAAACAAATAAAACGAGAACCTACTGGATTCGATTCACTTTTACTGAATAGCCAATCCAACGGCTTCATCCATCCATTTTAAACGAATACACAACATGAAAGTCCGCTCATTAAAATCATCAACCATAAGAATACGCAGCTAAACTGAGTCAATGTCTCAATTCTCTTGTTATAAAATATCCCACATGTGTTATTGGAAGGCCTACAACCAGATCTTCCTGTTTGATGGTAATTTCTTCAGTTCATTGTCGTGTTGGAAAATACAACCTTTTGAGAGTGCAAATAAATATTTAACTTCAACACAGTGTAAATATGTTAAAGCGTCAGGTACTTTGTAGGAAAATAACTGCCTATGTTGGGACATTTAAATATTGTACAAATGGTAATGTAATGTTATACAGGAACTTGTCTTCTAACGAAGTCACTACTCTTTTTTCAGTTCAGTTTTTGAAGACGGTAGATTCTGTCGGTTATCAGTAATATTTCAAAGATATAAAATGTTATGGTTGTTTTAAGGAACTCCGAAAACATCCTGATAATTTGTTTTAAAATTCTGTTAAATTCTTTATGATAAATTGAAAATTAATAAACTTTGCTTTCCTACATATTTCATGGTGATTGTCAATTTAGTTTAGTTTGGGTTTGTCAAAATTGTACGACGAAAAATTATAGTCATCTTAATGATGTAGATAAACAACGGAAACAACATTTTAAATGAAAGATGAAATAGGAAAGACTGAGTATACCATCACCTAAGATATACACAGATATACATTGGGATTAAGACATTAGTCCGTAATCAATATCTTAATTGGGCAGATTTTAAGATAACTACCTCAGAATTTAAGATACCTTCCTCAAATTTTAAGACACTTACCTCGGAATTATAGATGCTAGCTCAGATTACATTTCTTACAGAATACAATGACAAATATAAATTCATTAAAGGGGAAAGCTACAGTTCTGCTAATGAAAGTAATCCAGAATGCTTCCACGATAAACTTATAGGCTAAGTTTACCAATATGTTACAAACCCGCCATAGATTTCAACCACAGTCCTTCCTGAGTCCCCGTGATTACAGCCCAAATATCAGACTGGTGTTTGTAAAAGGTTTATATTGGGAGTTATTATTCAAATGCAAATTATTTACCTCAACTTGTGTCAAATGGGTTTCATTTCATTCTTCAATTTGCTTTTGAATAGAATATAAATACATGCTAGAGTTTGCAAAAGTGCAACACGAGCGTTTGCAACAACACAGTAATGTTGAGTCACGTGATCATTAAAAACAAGTTTCTATTGATATTTAACGTATGCTTTTGTTTGGTTCTTAACAGATGTTACTACTATAAGTTATCAGAGGCTTTACATTATATCACGTGACAGGATTAACATTGCCGCTTTATGCATGTTCTGCCAGTGTGTCAAATATAAATTTCCTGGGTGT